GTCCTGGACAGAGCTAGAGAAGGATGTAGAACAAAATTTTAACTCACAAAAAAAGACCAGATTTACTGACCTGACAGAGACTGGAGAAACCCTGACAGTATGGCCTCCGGACACCCTTTTAGCTCAGTAGTGAGGTCACTCCTGATGTTCACTGTTCAGCTGGGAATTGGACAGCCACATAAAACAAAACGGAACTAATAAGGCACAGGGACAAGGACTAGAAGACAAGAGGAGACAGGAAAGCTGGTGATAGGGAGCCCAAGGTTGAGAAGGGACAGTGTTGACATGTCATGGGGTTGTTAACCATTGTCATAGGTCAATATGTGTACTAACTGTTTAATGAGACACTATTTGTTCTGTAAACCTTCATCTAAGGTACAGAAAAAAAGAATTATCTATGTGAGATCAAACTGACAACAGGAATGCAAAAGGTTTCATGGGAAGCCTAGGGGGCAGCGAGTTGAAGATAATGGTGATGGAATAATTTGGAAAAGGATAATGAGAATAGCAGCACAAGTGGAAGAATGTAATCGATGTCACTGAATTGTACATGTAAAAACTTTTGAAAAAGTGTAACTTTGGCTATGTATATTTTCACCAAAAAAAAAGTCCTACAAGGTCAAGAAGCGAGAGTGTTGACCAATGTCATAAAACAATATGTGTACTGACTGTTTAATGAGAAACTATTTGTTCCATAAACCTTCATCTAAAGTACAATAAAAAAAAATTTAAGAAAAAAATCTGAAGCTCAGAAATATCAAGCAAATCACCCAAGATCACTGTGGTGAAACCAGGATGTAGGCCTGGGACTTGGCCTTCATATTCCGTGGTTTTAACTACAGTGCTATGGCTGGACCCCTCCCATTTTGAAACAACCCTGTCTCTGTTTTCATTCTGCTGAGACGTGAAAATCACATCTAAAAAAATGACCTTTTAACATACAAGTGACTCTACTCCCCAAAACTGTGGCCTGTTTAGTATCCTGAAATCTAATAATCCAATGCAAATCTTCGTCTTTCCTTGGGCATAGGTGGGATCAAGGAGGGTGGGGAAAGGGCTAACAGAGGGGGCTAAATTTATTCTTCTGGGAAAACATCCTGAAGAATTCTGTTAAAATTTTAGCCTGAACCAGAATTTAGTTTTAGGTGAGCTCCGTGAATCAGTAGTGTGAGGGAAGGGTGAACAAATCTGAATTTAAAATGAGGGAATGGATAGTCCTATTGTTTTGTGCTGCTAGACCCCAAATGGAGAGTCATATTCCATTTTTGGAGCTACACATTATTGAGGACTTTGATAAATCAGAGCTTGTTCAGAAGAAGGAGACCAGGATGGTGAGGGGACCCAAAATCTGTTTTATGAGGGAAAGTTTGGAAAGAGGAAGGGCACATAGTACAAGCAAACCTAAGTGGAAGAGTGAAATGTTGTGGAAGACCTACAGAGGTAAGTGAAAGCTTCCCAAAGAACTATACAAAAAAACTAAGTATTTAGAAGAATACTACATGTTTTTGTATGGGAAGATTGAATATGGCAAGTATTAGCATGTCCCTCAAACGTATCTATAAATTCAGGTAAGCTCCAATTAAAATCTTAATGTTTTATGGAATTAATAAACTGATGTAAATTTTTTTTCTTGAAAATAATTTAAGAAAGGCTAAAAAATTTTTTTTTAAATAATAATGGAGGAGGACTTTTCCTACAAGATTTTAAAACACACTCTTCTATTATTGTAAAAATGTTGGTAATGCAACAATTTCCAATTCAACATTTTTCACTCATACAATTCAGTGAAATTGATTACATCAATCATGTTATGCAACCGAAATACAGTCTTAAACAATAGCAATTAAAAGGCTAAAGTACTAGTGCAGGAATAGATCAACATATCAATAAAACAGAATAGAGACCCAGAAACAGACAAACATATATGGGGGTTTATAATATTTTGAAGATAGCATTTCAAATTAGTGACACTAAATGGTATCAGAGCAATTGAATGTATCTGGATAAAATGAAGTTATTGCCTTTAATCATCCCCAAAATATTCCAAACCTAAAGAACAGAACTGAAGATAATACACAAGACTATTTTATATGTGTGTTTAGAGGGGAAGGCTTTTCTAAATGAATAGAAAATGAATACAATAGATTAACATTTTATAAGATAAAAATTAATAACTCCTATAAATCAAAAGTTACATTTTTATCTTTTTTTTTGTTACAATTGAGTCAGAATTTATTTAAAAACAATCTCAGATTGTTGAAATTAGAAATAGAAAATGATTGTACAGGTAAACGCCCCCTGACTGTAATATGTCAAACCTTTCTTTCCTAGAGGCCCTGACCCAACTCCGTCTGGCATCCTCCACCTCGCTATTCGGCCTTTTTTTTTTTTTTTTGGTCTTTTTCTCCGCTCAGGTAGTTCATTCTCAGATCAGTAAGTTTGCTGACTAGAAGCCATCCAACTGAGAAGTTAAATGCCAGTCCCCCTATCTCGGAGCCCTGGTGGCACAGTAGTTAAGAGCTACAGCTGCTAACCAAAAGGTTGGCAGTTCAAATCCACTGGCTGCTGTTTGGAAACCCTATGGGGCAGTTCTAGTCGGTCCTGTAGGGTCTCTGTGAGTCGCAATCGATCGACAGCGATGGGTTTTTGTTTTTCCTCCCTATCTTGCATTAATTCCTAATCTCTCAAATGAATTATAATGAGCTTCCTTTCTTGGTTTTGGGAGCCTAAGTACTCACTCCTCTCCCTAAAGGGCCAATATCCTTCTCCCCTCTTGTTCTCCTTCATACATTGACTGGAGCGGTGCTTGGTGGTAGCGGCCCTTGTACTGACGCCGCCCCTGAAGCTCTGACGGCTGGTGGCTGGATTTTAACTGCTGGAACATCTTTTAGAATGTAAGGATTAGCAACTTCATCCTAGCCTTTGGACCTTAGCAGCAATTCTGGAATAACAGTACACTTCCCACTGGAGGACCTGCTGCAGGGTGCCCTTTGGCCAGTCCCCTGCAGGGCAATTCCCATGGGCATCCTCAGCCTGGTAGTCTCCAGCCTCACCTCATGTCATGATTCTTCTTTCCTTGAAAACTTAGCAAGGGTGCACTGGGGATGGATTTAGGTCCCGGAGATACCCATAATCCTTTCTGAGCAAAATGGCCTCGCCTGAAACCCCACAGAGAGAGAAACCAATCACCAATGCCTAAAGCAAGCCCTAGGCTTCATTCATAGTGACTAATGGATAGAACAAGTGCAGATGTCAGCCACAAATTCCAACACAGGACCAAAGACAGAGTAGACTAAAAATGAATTGCTCTGTATTTAGGGACATCAGAGGGAAGTTCCATTAGCCATGGAAGTTTAGAAACAGGACTTGGAGGGATAGTTAGCCTGGGGTGTTGAGAAACAAATGAATTGGGCTAAATTATAAATCAGAAGTGACTGAGAAATTATTGCACTGGATTGAGAAAAATTCAGACTTGGGCTGTAAGTAGGCAGGCTGAAGACTCAAACTCTAAAATGAAGCCATAGAAAAGAAGTTATGGAAAATAGTTCTATTTTTGCATGCCCAAGTCTTTAGACGTATGGTGACTGTGAAAATTTGCTTGTTATATACACTAGTACTCCTTGCTCCCGTGCGCATAGAAAACATTGTAATTAACATTCATTCATCTTTGTAGAGCCCAGGGACAGGCACGTACTTCTCAGTACAGCAATGCAGGAAATCATTATCAATGGATTGGAGTTGGCGTGGGATTTAAAACTGATTTGCCATACATGTAACTAGAGAATGAAATTGAGAAGTATATCACACTCTGAGTCTTCCCTGCCCTAGGTTGGGGATGATTATGGCAAAATCAAAGGGATTTAAGAGACTCCTTTTTTATTATTTAAAACTTACTTTAAGATCATCCATCTGCCCCTTGTCTAAAATACTATTAGAGAGTAATTTGTTTGACCTAGACATTTTCATCTATTAAAATAAAAGTATGAGGAGAGAGAGAGAGAATCCCACTAAACTGATGCTTTCCTTAACAATACAGTGTAGGTTAACTCATCTGAATACTTTCCTAAGTCATATACTTCATTTCCCAGTTAAATAAAGAGCTTCAGGCACTTACTAGTAATTTCCATCCATTGATCTTTTTTTTATTGTCTCCAGTAATAATAGGAAGCATTTCTGATTATTTGGAATAAACATTACAATATTCTGAAAAAAAAAAAAAAAAAAGGACAGAAGAGACAGTGGAAATATAGACACCTTTAGAGAGAAGACCACATAGGCAATGAGCCTCAGCAAGAATCAGGAGACAAATGTGTCTTGAACATATGAAGGGGAGGAATAGCAGAGACCCAAATATGGATAGAGGCATTGAGCTGTTTTGCTAATAGTCAATTAGATTATTTGACATTATTTGTTATGAATCTAATTACTCTAGAGCCTAGGACATCCAGCTACTGGAAGAAGCAAAAGAAGGGACCATAGTTTGATATTATGATATGATTGGGGAACAAAGGCACTGCAGTTGGAGAGCTCCTAGTCTGATGGGGAGGACACACACAGATACACACACGCACAGATAACCCTGCAAAGAAATTCTAACAGCTTCAAATAGAACAGAGTGGCTATGTACACATATGTAGATTTCTGTACAGGTGTGTACAAAGATTCTCTGGTAATTAAGGTGACCAACATGGGTGAATCTATAAAGAGAAGATTTATGAAATATAGGCAATTTCAAGTAAATATGGAAGGAATAAAAGGAATGTTATATTCTCAAATAGAGACATATTATGGCGTGACTCTATGGTGGGGGCCTGGGAATTAAGACAGGGTAGAACTGTTCAACCAGGGGATGACAGAGACCACAAGGTGGGAGGTGGAAAATTACAGGGTGCAGTGACAATTGATGAAACAGCATCTTAAAAAAAAAAAAAGACATGCACCAGGTGCAGTTTTACACACACACATACACACATGCACACACACACAAACACCCCTTGTAATTAGGGTCCACGGATTCTGTTAGATTCTGTAGAAGAAAGCTTACTTATTTGAGACTTAATCCTGTTTATCAGTTTGTCTAAGCCCTGTTTCATGTCTTTGTTCCTTACACTGTAGATAAATGGGTTTAACATCGATGTCAATACTGTGTAGATGATTGTTGCTATCCGGTCCTTAACAGTATAGCTGGACAAGGGCTGGAAATAGACATAGCTAATGCTTCCATAAAACAGAGTGACCACAGTGAGATGAGAGCTGCAGGTGGAGAAGGTTTTGCGTTTTCCAGCAGCTGAGGGGATCTTGAGAACTGCAATGAGGATCTGTAGATAAGAGATGATGATACAGATAAAAGGAGCCATCACAGAGGCCAGCCCTTCTGTCATGGCCACAAGTTCATTGATGAAAGTAGAAGAGCAAGACAGTTTCAGAACTGGGTAAACATCACAAAAAAAGTGACGGATAACTTTTGAAGCACAAAAGGTGAGCCGATTCACTAGGAGGACATGTAGGAGGGAGTGGAGGCAGGAGACAGCAATGGAAAAGGACACTAGCAACACACAGTGTCTGTGGCTCATAAAGGTGACATAGTGGAAGGGATCACAAATAGCTACATAGCGGTCAATGGTCATAGCTGCCAGTAGATAACTGTCCATGTTTCCAAAGGCTAGGAAGAAATACATCTGTGTCAGACATTCAGCATAGGCAATAGTCTTAGTCTCTGATAAGAAGTTCATCAGCATCTTGGGGACTATGACTGTCCTGTAGCAAATATCAGCAAAAGACAAGATGCTTAGAAAGAAATACATGGGATTTTGGAGCTTAGGATCAGAGTGGATGGCCAAGATGATGAGCAAATTTCCCATTAAAGTGACTAGGTATATTATACAAAAGAGGGCAAAGAATGGTTTCTGGTCTTCAGGCCGAGAGGAGAGTCCCAAGAGGATGAATTAAGAAAATCTTGTTAGGTTAAATGTTCCCATGGACTTGTGTGCACCTGTGGATAAATAACATTGTCGATTAATGGTTTTTATGTCATCTAGAACATGCATCTTCCCATCTTATTCTCACATTGAGAAGTTATTCATAGAGAATTTACTCAGATGTTTGTTTTTCTTCTTGAATATGGAAAATTCAGAGGTGAAAATATGTTTTCACTTCTTTTTATATCTTTAAGATAGAAATATATAGAAAACAGATACAGGAGTGGGGAGAGAGGAGAGAGAGAGAGATTTCCTTTTCCTTTCTCTGTAACTGATAATCACAGGAACCACAGATGCAGACCTTGAATAGTGTTCAAGTCAGAATCTGATTAAAGATTATCATTGACTAACCCGCTTCTAGATCCACATTTCAGCTAGTTTGTGGATAATGAATAATCATTGCCTTAAACTGGGATATTTCTCTCCACATCATTTACAATGGAAGCAAGAACGTCGTCTAAAGAATATTGAATTGAATTATGATATCTTCAAACATTTATTGTAATACCTGTACTTCTATAGGTGAAAACTTCCTGCCCCATAGAAAACACACACACATACACACACACACACAGAGAGACATATGTATGATTAGAGAATAGTACAGGGTATTTCCTTAATACTAATCTCCTAAGACACCATGCAGAAAAGGCACCTGGTCCTAGACTTCTTTGACTTCTTCATAAATCTCAGGGCATGTGGTTTGTCTGTTTCATTTGGGGCGTTCACATACTATAGGATCTAATACACTCACACGCCCCTGCCTACCTATCATCAGCTCTTCATAACATGCGTGGAAACAAACAACTAGCCATTTAAAGTGTGAAGGATTTTCCTCAAGGAACGAGGAGGGTATCATGTGTCTCCATCCCAGTCCCCACTCATCTAGGTTCAGGTTAACGCTTGCATGTTTCTGGCTGTGTTTACTAAGTTGGACTGTTATTAACGCTGTCCCCAGTTTTCCAAAACTCTGTAAAAGATTTCCTGGGAGATTGCCAGGTATCACTGAAGGTCAGAGAAAACCTGGGTCAAGATAATATCCTAGCCTCTGTACAGCTTCCTCTGCTTGTGTCTCCATTTTCCTAAGAGACATACTGCATGTGAGCATCCTGTTACCACTGGTCATATCCTCTTCATTACCCTACTTTATAGCAAAAGTTGAATTTTCTATACTCTCTGCCTCCATGTCCTCATCTCACATTCTCTACTTAACCAAATCCAGTCAGGCTTTTGTCCTCACCAATCCACTAAAGGACTTTTTGTTGCCATAGACTTACCCTTGAGTAAGCATTTGACACTGCTGTTTACTCCCTTCTTTTTGAAACATTTTTTAAAAATTTAGTTTTCCAGATACCACTTTTCATGGTTTTCCTGTTTCTTTACTGGATTCTCCTTTTCAATCTTTAAGTTAGATTCTTCTTTTTTCCTCTTTTTAAATGTTGGAGTGTCCCAGGGCTCAGTCATCTATCCTATTATTTTCTCTACCTCTGTTTGTGATCTTAACTAGTCCTTTTACTTTAAATATAATTTATATACTAAAAAATCCAAAATTTCTATCTCCAGTTCTAAATTCTCTCCTGAACTCTAAACTCATATATCCAGCTGCAGCTCAGCATCTACACTTGAATGTCTAATGGCATCTCATTTATGATTTCAAAGAAAGAAAGAAAGAAAAAAAAAAAAAAAACCTCATGATTTCCCTACCTCCTAAATCTGTTCTTCTCTTAGTACATCCTATCTTAATAAATGGCACCACCACACCCAAGGGTTCATGCAAAAACTTAAGATTCATTCTTTATTATTTTCTTTCCCTCATATCCTCACACAATCTCTCAGCATGTCCTGTTGGCTCTGTGTTTAAAATATATCCCAATTCTAAATGCTTCTCCTCCTGTGCACCACTACCCAAGATACTCTAGCTCAAGACACCATCATCTGTCAACTACAATATTGCAATAAATTCCTAAATGGTTTTCCTGTATCTGCTTCAGTTTTCCTATAATCAATTTTCTATGGAGAAGGCAGAATGATTTTTTAAAAACATAGTTCAGATCATGTTAGTCCCCTGTTCAAAACCCCCAAAGTCTTTCCATCTCAGCATAAAATCTAAACTTTTTGCTATGTCCTACAAGGCCTTACATGAGTTGGCCTTCCATTCTTCTCTGGTTTCATTTCCTTTCGCTCTTTCCCTATCTCCTTGTGTTCTAGCCACACCTGTTTGTTTTCCACAAAATTCCAAGCATATTCTTGCTTTGGAACATTTTCACTTGCAGCTCCTACTGCCTGAAATACTCTTGCCTCATATCGTCCTAAGATTTGCCTCATTACCTTATTCAGGTCTTTGTTTAAGTATCTTTAAGAGAGGTATTTCCAAAAATTCTATCTAAAATTACTTCTCATACATATTCATCTCCACCACCTTGCCCTGTTTTACTTTATTTTTTGTAGCACTTATAACTACTTGAAATTATTATATATTTTTTAATTGAATGTCTGCTGAACTAGAGTATAAACAGTTATGGGGGAAAATGGGTGAAAAGAAAACACAAGTGAGAGAGTGAACTTGTACGAAAAAATTTCCCACTAGTGTCCCTGCTCTTTGAAAGACAGTTCATATCTTGAGGTCAGGAAAATGTAACTCAGAAGTAGAGTAGGCTAGCAGAAAATTCAACTGGTATAGATATTCAGAGGAAAATCTACATTTAAGGTACACATAAGTTAACTCTCTTATTTAGTTGGTGACTAATTATCTCTCTGAGATCAGATTTGTCCATCTTCTCACCAGGCACTCTCAAAGTTGATTTCTCACCTGGAAAGGACATTGAAGTCTTGTCTCTTCATTCATTCATTCATTCTATTCTCTTCACTTATGTTCCATAGAATGATCAGTCAAAAAGAAGGCAAAACTGTGCCAAGAAACAGTATACAGAAAAGACACCTTATCATAGAAACTTTCTTAATGCTTCCTGAATCTGAGTGCCCCCTTCTCTGGCTTCTTACCATCCTTTATAAGCCGTAGATATCCTCAGTTCCTGCTTTCCTCATGGGAACATCCTTTGCAACTGTTTCATTAAGTCGCTGATGCTTAGGGGGGAGAAGGTTAAAAAAAGCAAACATCCATTAACTTTGTCCAGGATTGTCTCCCAGGATCCAGAGAAATTACAAGTGTTTTCTCTCCCCCAGTGACTTGATATCCCTGTGCTTCAATCTCCAGGTGTAGTGCAACATGTGCTTAGGCTCGTGTAGGTGTCTAAGATGAACAATAATCCTCTGTCCCTGGTTTGCCCAAGCTCTCAGAGGGTTTACCTGGGAACTGTATCAGGTAATATTGAAAACAGAGTACCAGGCTGGAGCATGGACACCTGGCTCCAGTTTCTCCCTTGAGCCTAAAGAATTTTGATTTGGTCTCTTTTTTAGGGTCTGCATTTCTCTAAGGGACAACTACACCAGGACATCTGAGCATCGTTTGTCCTTTCTGTGCCTATCCCTCCCAAGATGAAATGTAGCTACTAGTTTAGTACCTGTGGCCTTATAAATTTATCCTCTAACAAAAGATAATGCCATTACCTTTGTCTTATTTCAGTTTGTGACACCTTACTGTCATCCTTTGCCCGCAGACCTTCTTCATAGCCTTTTCTTCCTCTGAGGTTAAAAAAATTGACTAGTATAAAGTGCCTGAAATGGTGCCTGGTGTTTAATTAGGAATTTAAAAATGAGAAACTGCCTCTCCTTTTATCCTTAACAGTGCTCTGATACATTGCATCTCTTAGCTACTGCTATGAGTTGGATTGTGTCCCCCCAAAAGATATGTTGAATTGCTGACCCTGGTACCTGTGATATGACCTTGTTTGGAAACAGGGTCTTTGCAGATGTAATCGAGTTAAGCTGAGGCCCTTAGGGTGAGCCCTAATTTAATATAGCTGGTATACTTATAAGAAGAGGAGAAGATACTCAAGACACGGGCACACAGGGCACAGCGGGAATGCCATGTGATGACAGAGGCAGAGATTGGAGTGACGTATCTACAAGCCAAGGAATGCCAAGGATTGCCAGCAACATCAGAAGTTAGACATGGAACAGGTTCTTCCCTAGAGCCTTCAGACAGTGCCCTGCTAACATCTTGATTTCAAACTTCTAGCCTTTATAACTGTAAGAGAATAAATGTTTAATGTTTCTTCAAACATCTAGTTTGTGCTGATTTCTTCTGGCAGCCCTAAGAAACTAATAAAACCTGCTGACTGTAATTTGTATAAGCCCTCTTTCCCCAGGCAATACGGATTCTTTTAGTAATTACTTAAGGAAAAATTAATATGTTGGAGAAAATTGTCCTCACAGTCATATTTACAACCTTAGGGTCATGGGTTTGTGTTGGGCTGATGAGAGTTTGGGCAAATTCTTTAAACCCTCTGAAAACTGGCTACCTTATCTGTAAAGAGAGAGTGACTGTAGTGTTATATCAGATTATAATATTATATCTTAGTATTTTGGTGGGGGGGGTGGGAATTAAAACATTTTATAGTGCCTGACATGATAATCGCTCATCAGATTGTAGCTGTAATTACATAACTGCCACTGAGGGATTCCTTGTTACTTGAAGTCTAAGTAAATATGGCTCAATGTCCCTATTTCACAACCTGCAGAAATTTAAGTTATCACAGAGATTTCTGCAAATTTTCAGGAGGCATATGTCCTTCTGGGCGTCTCTACCTCTGAGTTCCTGTTTCCAACAATGTCAGATAGGGACTGCAACTCATTGATCTAGAATTAATTCTTTCAGAAATTTCTGAAGGAAGAACTAATAAGTTGTGGAAAATTGTATTTAAAGCCCCCCTTAGAAAGGTAGGGCAGGGGTTAAGAACACAAACCATAATTTTCAAACAGAACAGATTTCAGTTTCCAGATCTGATGGTGTTGTTTGGCCTTCGTGAAGTTTTTTGGACTCTCATTTATCACATCAGAGTTATGGAAATAATGAATTGGTAGTTCCTTTGAAAAGTTAATGGAGGATTAGTATGACATGTGTAAAGTGCCTAGCTTGGTGCCTTTTACAGTTAAGCGCTCAACGTGTGGTGGCTGTTATTACATAGTCAATGTATCAGCAGGGTTCCTCTGCTGAAAATCCAGGTAATATTGGACAGAATCCCTCATTTCCATGGTCAATGGAAATTTAAATTCATTGCCAAGAATTCTACAAATCCCAGAGGCTTGTGATCTTTTTGTCACCTCTCTGAAACCCTCTGCTTCTGGGCATGGAGTTTCTGCTATTCTCCACACGGGCCTAGATGTGCAACTAAACCCTTCCCCAATTACTCATATAAGGTGGTCCTGAGTGGATTATGGTTTGCTAAAGATGTTTAGAGTATATTTGTGTGTGTCATGGGAAGGAGTTTCATTGAGGGAACAATTTCTAACTGATCGTTCATCAACCTGTTCTTATGAATATCCTTTGACAAGTCATGGAATTTTCATGTCTGCTTTATCCCCACATAGTCTGCAGTTCACACCAGCTGATTGACTCCTCTCTCCTATACATTCTCACAAGAGAGTAATTGAGAGAAGCCTCTTATCTTTTGGGTGCTTTCCATGACCACAGCCCCTCCTGTGAACTGACTGATGAAGGGGCAGCAAGATGGAATCTTGCATTTTCTCCTGAATAACCTTCCAGTGCCTGAACCATGTTCCAGCTGCATGGAGCCTGACCATACTTTGGTTCTTATTCCTTTGTGAGATCTTGCTATACAGCTGAGATTTATGCCTTCTTTTTTTCCCTTGTGAATACATACAATAAATCCTTTTGACAGTGTTGAATTTTACCTGAGCCTTGTGCTCCTGCAAGACTGTAACAGTTAAAGAAATTCACCCACTATTCTGTGTCCTGGGAAATGAATGAACTTCGACCCATCCTCAGCCTGTGCCAGTATACAATCCCTCCTCAGCATCCACTAATTTTGGGGAAAAACATTCCATGATCAACTATCTGATCCCACCACTATCATCAACTCATCCCACTTCCCACACTCCACCTTACTTTACCACACTCAGTTCACTTCTCCCTATAAAAGAAAAGCTGTTTTCTGCTTGACTTTTTTTTTTCTGCTTGACTTTTGAGATGCTTGCAGGTCCTATGGTTGTGGTGTTCTCCTTATTGCAATAGTCCCTTTCCCTCCTCTTGCAATAACCCTTTTGAATAAAGTCTCTCTTTACTTAAGCTGGATTTGTTTTATATTTGACACTGTTACTTAAAGGTGTGTGTGTTTCTCTGTATCTTGCAACTTAAAACAACCCAAGTAATACAAAATGCCTCCCCAAAAATGTATAGTCTATTTTATTTTGTTTCCTTAGTTTCCTGCAGATTTTTGGTCACCAGATTGTTGACTTGCCATTAAGCACATCATGTTTGTTTTTAAGTTTAGGAGACCGGAACAAGATGGACAAGAAATAGAAACTTGTTGAATACGTAAATGAATTGACAAATGTTTGAGTTGCCAAAGAAATTTATGAGTCTATGGTTACTCAAATATTTTTCAGAACTCACCAGGGAACAAAAGCATTTTTCCCGACCGAGTTTGATCTTTCTGGTTAGTAGGCCGGCTCAGGTCTTTTAAGGAAGAAGGATCCTCAACGGTTGGAGGCGTTTACTACCTGGGTTACTGGGGCCTAACAGTCCTCTCCCTGGGGAAGTGGTGCAGTTGAATTCAGGTAAAATGGTATTAGTAAGGAGACACTTAATGTTCAGTGTTGCAGTCAGCTGTGCTAGTGGAAAGCAGGGAGAAAAATATTCAGATACTGCGTTCATGAGGGACTGGACTGGAACTGATTCACCACCAACAGTCATATAGTGGACTGATTTCATTTGTTGAGAATCTAATAACTACAGAAGCCAGGGCCCTAATCTTTGAGGAGATGCAGAAGAAGGAGTCATGTTTCTTACTTGTATAATTGGAGAAAAAGACAGATCTTGCTATTGAGAAGGCCTCTAGCTAAATGTAATGAAGTTACACACACACAAGCATACGCACACACACGCACACAAACATACACCAGGTCAAAGACTTTCAACTGCTTTAAATAACTCTACCCATTGCTGTCAAGTCGATTCTGACTCATAGTGATCCTATAGGACAGAGTAGAACTGCCCCATAGGGGTTCCAAAGCTGTAATCTTTACTGGAGCATACTGCCACATCTTTCTCCTGTGGAGGGGCTGGTGGGTTCAAACCACCTACCTTTCAATTAGCAGCCAAGCACTTAACCACTGCACCACTAAGGCTCCTGACTAACTCTGCATAACAATAAACCCAGATGCATGAACAGGGATACTCAGGATGTTATAGTGAACAAACTCAGGAAACAGGAGGTATTCCAGAGAGTTAGGATTAAGTGATAGGGATGTGATTTCCCATAAAGTAGACATGTGGTTGATTGAGGTTTAGACTGGACACAGACATTAGGATTCAGGTAGAACTTTTCCCAGCCAGGTAACATTAGTTTCATGACATTCAATAAGCATTTCTCCATTAGGGATGAAACACCATTATTGAATGTACTATCCTTCAGAGTCTAATCATGAACACATTAAAAACTTACACTCAGGGATTACGATTTGTAGGATTCTCTTAAGATCTCAAATCCTCTTATTGCGACTTCACCCTGTCCATCAGCTTTGCCAAGCCCTGCTTCATGTCTTTGTTTCTCAGACTGTAGATAAATGGGTTCAACATCGGTGTCAATATTGTATAGATGAGTGTTGCTATTCAGTCCTTGACAGTATAGTTGAACAAGGGCTGGAAATAGACATAGCTAATGCTTCCATAAAACAGGGTCCCCACTGTGAGATGAGAGCTACAGGTGGAGAAGGCTTTGTGCTTCCCAGCAGCTGAAGGGATCTTCAGAACAATGGTGAGGATTCTCAGATAAAAGATGATGATGTATGAAAAGGGGGTCATTATGACAGGTAGTCCTTCTGTCTTTATCACTATTTCTCTGGCAAATGTAGATGAACAAGACAACTTCAGCAATGGGTTGACATCACAGAGGAAGTGATGGATAATATTGGAAGCACAGAAGTAGAGCTGATTAATCAGGTAGACATGCGGTAGTGAGTGGAGGAATGGGATGCAGAAGGAGATGACCAGCAGCAGGATACAGCGTTTATGGCTCATGATGGTGATGTAATGAAAAGGGTTGCTTATGGCCACATAGCAGTCAGTGGCCATGGCCCCTAGGATGTAACTATCTACATTAGCAAAAGACAGGAAGAAATACATCTGGGTCAGGCACTCACCATAAGGAATGGTCTTTGTTTCTGATAAGAAGTTTATCAGCATCTTTGGAATAATGACTGTTGTGTAGCAAACATCAACAAAGGACAGAATGCTCAAGAAGAAATACATGGGGGTCTGTAGGCGAGTATCTGAATAGATGGTCAAGATAATGACCAGGTTTCCCATCACAGTGACGAGGTCTATACTTAGAAAGAAGACAAAGAGAGGCTTCTGATCCTCAGGCCTAGAGGATATCCCCAGGAGAATGAATTCAGAGGGTCTTGTTAAGTTCTTCCATCCCATGGTTTTGATTTTGCCTAAAGATAAACAAGACTGTAAATTTGTAGACTTTGCTATCATTTGACACATGCGTTCTCCAAACATCCTCCAACCTTATTCTCCCACTGAGGTATTATAAATATAATATTTGTCTGTACTACTGCTGTCCTTCAGTAATGTGGAGAATTAAGGGTGAAATGTACTTTTCTATCTCCTTTTTATCTGAGTTCCCTAGAGATCTTGGGAAAATAGATCATAGAATGGAGGTGGTAAAATGAGACAGCGAGTAAGCTAGCTATGGAGATAGAGTCCTCCCTTTTCACCTCCTTGCTTTCTGTCTGATTATCATATTCTGACTGACAATTCAGGGTACTATGGCTCAGGCATAGAATAGGGCATGGAGAAAAGTCTCCTTCTGTGTAGAAATTGTGATGGATTACCTTGCCTAGATAATTGTTTACCAGCCTTTGAATGATCCTCTCCTTGAATTCAGTTGCTTCTTCACCCACCAGTTATCCTGAAATCTGGACATTGAATTCTGATATTACCATACAATCTCTTCTTTCTCTTCACTGTGATATGTGTATCCTTAATAAGAGTTATTATTCTAGAAAGTCGGAAAAGATGTGAACAGAGACACAGATCCAATGTGGCGTGGATAGAATTCCTTTATTATATTTAAACATGTTCTATCCAAGGCTCCCAACTTGTGGGTTCTAACATTGTTGTATGTGTATATGTGCAAGTGTGTTTGTAAGTGTAACTTTGTCTCTCTAATCATCTCAAACATATGCACAGCTGCCCAGGACTGACCTGATCTTTAACAAGCACTCAACTCCTCTTGAGTCTGAGTGATCTCCTCCCAGCTACTGCAGGGTTCTCTCCATCTAAGGGAGCTGTCGTGAGATACAGCACACCCTCTTCAAGGGAACATACTATGCCACCTTTGTCCCCAACTGTCTGGAGATAAGTTTGGAAATCCAGTAGAAAACAAACAACTGATCTCTTCGTTTATGAAAGGTATTTCTCTAAGGAACCAAGAGCATATCTCATGCCCTCTTTTCCTCCAAATGGCCGTGTTCCTCTCCACATTTCCTAAGATTCTGTGCAGTGCCTAGATACTCCTGGTTCAGCTGACTAAGATGGACAATAAGTATACCTGGTAAAAGAATCATTGAAAGCCAGGGTTCTGGGCAGGAATACAGTAAACACATGTCAAGTTTATCTCAGACCCATATAAACACAGTGCAACCTCTCCCTATTACTCAGTTTTTTTTCCCCAAGGGAAAAAACCAACTACAGCATCCTGATGCCACCGATTATCTCTGCTTCCATAAACTCAGCCTTAAAGAAAGCATCTGTAATATGAAACAGTGTCATAGACTTGACCTTGGAACTCCTCTCTGATATGCTCATCCCCAAGTCTACTGCCACATAGGTCAGTTTCAATCCTTGCCTTAACTACCCAGAACACTACCAGCTGCATTTTTAACCTGTACCAACAATACCTATGAGTTAAGGTTTGATCAGAGAAGCAGAATCATTATGAGAGATATGGAATAAGAGATTTATTGCAGGGATTAGATCTAATTGTGGGAGCTAGTGAAGAAATGTATAGAAAGCTGTAGACTTTGCATCTTATGGAGGGCCTGAATTCTCTGTAGGTCAGCAGAGCCAGCAGTTTGGAAGAAAAGATGGATGTTAAGGAGAGTGAGGAAAAACTCGAACCTATAAGGACAAATTGGAACCAATGAGGATAAATAGAACTCATGAGGACAAACATGGAACACACTATCCCCTGTCTCAATGATGCAGGTGAACTGCAGGAGAAACTGGCACACTTTGCCAACACATTGCTCATGCATCTGGTACAGGACTTGGAGAAGCTGAAGGAGGATATCCAGTAGGAGCTGGAGGGGCTGTGGGCTTGTGGGACTAGCTGTTGCACCATGTCAACTGGATGAGACAAAAGAATTAATGACAATGTGAGAAAGCTGCAGTGTTTTGTGACACCTGTCAGAGTATAATGACTGCTGCTTAATTTCCATTTTCTAAATCTTGTGTGAATATCTCAACACAAAATCATATAAGGAAGGAAATCCTATAATTCCAGTTTAGGTAAGTAGTAATAGCCACCACACCCACTTAGGCATTCTTCCCACTTCAGGCATGCAACATGATAAGCAGGCAAGGCTTCTAATCCAACTGGATCCATTCACATCATATTTCAGACATTACCCATAGCTCTTCTTTACATTCTGAGCAATCTTGTATATTAAAACCACTGCATCTTTGCTTATAAAGAAACAAACAAAGAAAACCAAAACCCGTTGCTATCAAGTCAATTCCGACTCATGGTGACCTCATGTGTTATAGAGTAGAACTGCTCCATTAGGTTTTTCTTGGCTATAATCTTTACAGAAGCAGATTGCCAGGTCTTCTGCAGCACTGCTGAGTGGGTTTGAACTACCAACCTTTAGGCTAGTAATTGAACACAAACAATTTTCACCACCTAGGGGCCTCTCCTTTGCTTATAAACCAAACCAAAAACCAGACAAAACCTGTTGCTGTCGAGTCAATTCCAACTCACAGTGACCCTATAGGACAGAGTAGAACTGCCCCATAGGGTTTCCAAGGAACAGCCGAGCTATTAACCACTGTGCCACCAGGGCTTTTCACTTTAATAATAGAACTCCCCTCTGCCTTGTGTATCTATTTATATTCTGTTAATACTTTAAGGCTCAAAATCTGCCTCATCCAGGAAGCTTCCTTTGATGCCCCTATTTGGAATCTGTTATGGTTTTGCACTGTATTAACTTAGCTAAGTATGGAGACATATTTCCCAGCATGGACTACCCTATGTGATTCAGGGGAAGGGTGGGTCACATGAGAAAACTGTGTAATTTGGAAGGCAGAAATAAGATTAACAGAAGCTTTTACACTTTGATGATTGGTGCAGGGCCCGAGGCACTTTTTCAGCTTATGTACATTGTCACTGATCTGCTGGTTCATGTCCTGGGCACTGGTCAGCAGCCAGGCCCCCAATTTCTTTCAGCTCCCACTGGATCTCTTCCTTTAGCTTTTTTGAGTGCTGGGCAGATGTGCGTGCAGCTCTGTGGTAAAAGGCACCACCTTCTTCTCTAGGCCACCCATGTCATTTAGTGTTAGGTGAGGTGGGAATGTGGATTGACCTCATAGGTTCTATTGTATACTCTCTCCACAAATTCATGGCTAGCTTTTTATCCCAACAGTCTGCCAGGCTGATTTACAGTAACTTCATACTCACCTCCAGATGCAACAGTAGCAACTTTCCATAGAATTCCTCACCAACTCCCCTTCATGGTCCAGGGTTTCTAATTTTTCTCTGATTTTCCAACCATCCCCTTCCAGATCTTTACTTCTCCAGCTCCTCTCATTGTTGTGTAAAGTCTAATCCCTATATTAAATCCCTTAATTTATATCACTCATATTAGTTCTGCTTGCCTTATAGTAGTTCATACTCTAACTGATACATATATTGGTACTGGAAGTGGGATGCTGCTATATGAAATATCTAAGCATGTGACATTGGTTTTGGGACCAGGCAGTGGATAGAAGATGGAAGAGTATAAAGGAGTCTGTTAGTTAAGGCTTGAAGAGCCATTAAGAAAATGTTATCGGAGATATGAAATAAGGCAAGTCCTGTTATGTTGGTAGGAAATTTGGCAACATTATTGTCTATTAAAAAAAAAAAAAACCAACCCATTGCCGTTGAGTCATTTCCAACTCATAGCAAACCTATAGGACAGAGTAGAACTGCCCCATAGAGTTTCCAAGGAGCACCTGGTGGATTTGAACTGCCAACCTTTTGGTTAGTAGATGTAGCTCTTAACCACTATGCCATCAGGGTTTCCTTATTGTCTATAATAATGTGTGAAATAATAATACAGCTAATTAACTGGTAGGTTTAGCTAAGGAGAAATCCAGGAAGAATATTTAAAGTATAAATTGGTTTCTTTTAGTTACGTATGATAAGGTAAAAGTAGAGATGATCTAAAAAAGGAATTGCTTAATTTTTTTAGCAGGATTTAGAGGAACTATGTGATGCCCAGTATGGCACTTATATCCAGAAAAATGGTATCAAAGTAAGACATGGCCTCAAAGTAAAGATGAAGTCAAGGGTGAAGCTATAAGACCCTTTGTTAAGACCTCTGAATGATTTAAGATAGTCCTTATAGATCCCCTCAGGTAATCAATAGGGTTTCTAAAATATTAAATACGTACATCTTAGACACCCTCTGTTAGACATGAGGGTTTTTATGAACTTTCAGGATGTTGTCCCATAGCATAGTGACTCAGCTCAAGGTAGAGGTTCATCCAAGAGACAAATGAATGTGATTTTTGTGCAATAGAATGAACCCCAGTAACAGTAATAAGAAATACAGTTTTAAAAGAGAATTGTACCAGTGGGAGCATCTCCATTCTAAACTGTAAAGGACAGACACAGTTCAAAATGAAAGGAGTCCTCAGGACCCTCAATCTCCTATGGGCAGGAATCAGGCTCAGAAAGCTACTCAGCTGTAATTCCAGACCATTTATTACTTAAAAGGATTCAGAGTGTAGAACTAAGAGCCAGGAGAGCAGATCCAGGAGTCATGGAGAATCACTTAGAGCCGGACTAGGTCCTAAAAAAGGAACAGACAAAATAAACCTGGCTAGAACTGGCATAATCAGTTCCCAGGTGTTGCTGAACAGTTTCTCTGCCTCTGTCTTAGTTATCTACTACTGATACAACAGAAATACCACAAGTGGATGGCTTTAACGAACAGAAATTTATTCTCTCACAGTTTAGGAGGTCAGAAGTCCAAATTCAGGGTGCCAGCTCCAGGGGAAAGCTTTCTGTCTCTGTTGGCTCTGGTGCAAAGTCCTTGTCATAAATCTTCCCCTAGTCAAGGAGCTTCTCAGTGTAGGGACACTGGGTCCAAAGGACACCCTATGCTTCTGGTGCTTCTTTCTTTGTGGTACGAGGTCCCCCATGTCTCTCTGCTTTCTTCTGTCTTTTA